GCCTCCCTCACTCCTCTTTTTCTTTCTCCTCAAACCCAGAACAAGACTGATTAAGATAATCGGAGCAAGAGAGCACCATGGTCTCTACAAACTGGGCCTTTCCAAGGGGTAAAGAATAAATAGAGTGAAAGTAACAGAGGGACAGAGCTGGAATGATAGGAACTGGGGTCAGAGAATAGAGTTTGTTATTCAGAAGCGGAAGAGCTAAGAGCAGTGACAAAGTCCAAAACATGTGCATGGGCATATGTGTGCCAGGCAGAGTGGAGCAGAGTTATGGGGTCAAGGATCTGTGGGGCCAGAGTGATGAAGGGGGTATTCATATGGACACCGAAGTCAGCCAAAGACAAGACAAGAAATGAGGTGGCGGGACGGATGGATTTACCGCACATACAGCCAACTTGGGATTTCTGATACACAGCCCCCAAACCTGTCTGACCCCCTGACTGCCTGCTCCCCAAGAATGTTGCTGTCAGCAGTCCTTCTTTAGTCTCTTCTGCTTATTTGCTGGACTTGGGGGAGATTAACCAAGTTCTCTGCTAATGATTTAATGCCAACTTGATTTTACTAAAATCTCTATAATCCAAAAAGATAATATAAGTTTCCCTCAAGGCAAAAGAGGGCAAGTCTCAAAGGAATTCAGATTCATGACTAGCCCTGTCCTTAGCTGAGGGAGGATGGACAGGTGACACAGTAAGGAGAGGTGCCAATGCTGTACTGCAGGAACAAACCCCCAGAGGCTACAGCAGCAGGAGAAATGGCCCCTGCCCCACAGTCATGTGCCTCATCCCTGGAGACCGCCTTCAGCACAGTCTCTCTCCCTTACCAGACTCTGGAGAGCCAAGTGCTAAGAACCGATGGGGACTGGAGGGGCCAAGTACTCTGAGCTGTTCCTGTGGGACATTAAGACTCTTTCTTCTCACTTAGCCCAAGCATTCAGGGCACTCAGGGATCCGTGGGGTGATGGCCAAGGGGACTTCCCAACAGCGAGGTATGTCTGGATGGCTCCCAGAGACCACTGTGCTCATTTCCAGCAACCTGGCCCATCAGCATCCTGATTGTCTCACTTCCACATGCTAAGGAAGAGCCGACTGCATGAGTCATGGGGATGATGTTAGTCAACAGGAGCCACCTCCAGTTCTTTCACGGAAGCTCTGCTTGGGGGCCTGGTGCTGTGCAGGCCCGGTGACCGGCTTAGATAGTATCTCTCACCCCTGGTTTTAGAGTTTTGTATTTTTGTGAATAACTCATTAGTTGCTTGTAAGAGGAAAGAGAGAAGAGAGAGACTAAGTGCCCCTCTGGACCCTTCAGAGGAAATTTTTTTCTACCTCTGGCTCCTGGGCTCTCTAGTTTCTTATTCTGAGTTCTCTGAAGATGCAGCCAGGGACACCTGCTGGTTAAGCTGGTGGGGTGAATTCAGGTGGGATTTGAAGTCAGTTACACTTAGCTTGAAATCCTTGTTCCACCTCTTACTGATAGATCTCAAACAAGTCGCATAGCCTCTCTGAGCCCCAATTTCCTTGTCTGTAAAATGTCTGTATGAGGTTTATGGATAGGGGATACGAAAGTGCTTCGAAAACACTAGATATGTATTAATTACCCTTTGAGTGTTTTGGGAATGGCATAACCCCTCCCTGACCACCACAGCCACTGCCAGCCCCGACCACCGTGGGCACTCTTTTTGGTCTTGAGATCCTGCCCATTTTGTCCTCTTGGCGTTTTTTTCCCTCTTTGCTTGAGTGTGTTCAATCCCAATCTTCAAATTCTCATCTCTGTTCCAAGTTACCAATAGCTGGAGGGAAATTGAGTCAAGAGAGGAGACAGTAATGATTTCCTCTTAGCCGAATGGAAAAATTGCCCCGATGCCACTGCACTGGCACAGCTTCCATTCCCTAGCTCCTGGTTCCATCAACATTGTGGGCAATTTCAGGGTCCATGGAGAAATCACTTCTAATGCTCTCAAACTCATAGTTTCTTGACTTGCTCAACACCAATGACTATGGGTCACACCTAGACCAAACATTGGCGATTGGACCAGTTGGAGATTTCAAGGGCTGCTGGCCTCAATATTTAACTGTCTGCTCACATGTCCAAGAAAAGGAGGAGGTCAGTTACGGTACTTTGTGTTCAGCCTGTCAATTCTCTCCAGCCAGACACGACCAGGTACACACCTGTTGTTAAACACGTTGGGTTTATTACTCCTTGCAGCTAGGGAGAGTGCACACCATGGGGAACTGTGGAGTGTCTCAGTAAAAGGGTGTTAGAAAGAACCTATTGCAAGGTATGGGCTTTGTCTGGGTGATATCAGGAGGGTCCAAGGATGTGGAGCTTTGCTCTTTAGTTGGGTGCGGTTAGGAATCAGGAACAATTCTATGATTCTTTGCAGAACAGTGTCTTTGATAATTTCCTTGCTATGTAGTATATCAAGTGGTTCTTTTTCTTCTTTTTCTTCTATCATGAGCAGTGCTACCCTGAACCTGTATTTTACATGTCTCCTAGTATAACTGTAAGTGCTTAAGAGTTTCTCTAGGGAATACGTAAGCCTACGAGTGGAATTTCTGGGTCTTGGGGCGTACAAATATTCAACTTTAGATGATAATGACAAATTGTTTTCCGGATCAGCTGGTTATACCAATGTCCTTGAGCCACATCCACAGAACAGTTGGTGGACTTCTTTATTTTTGATAATCTAGTATGTAAGATAATATTTTATTGCTGTCTTAATTTGCATTTGCCTGATTAATGAAGCTGAGCATCTTTTCAACTGTTTATTCATCATGTGCATTTTCTCTTCTGGGAAGTATTTATTTCTGTCTTTTGCTCCTTGTATTCAACATTGTGATGGTAAAGCAAGAAAAAGAAACAAAAATGTGTAAATATGAGAAATAAAAACCAAAAATGCCATTATATTTAGATTATATGATTTTCTACATAGAAAAATCAAAAGAACCTAGAAACTATTAGACATAACATCAAGGTGTCTTAGTTCTTTATTGCTCTGTAACAAACCACCCCAAAATCGAGTGACTTAAAAGAATAACCATTTTATTCTATCACAATTCTTTGTGTCACGATTTGGGCTGGACTCAGCTAGGCAATTCATTTGCTGGTGCTGTGCGAGGTCACTTATGTGACTATAACATCTGGCATCCTGAAGATATTATTCTACTTCTCAATGATTTCCATTAATATTGCTGTCTAACTGTGTGAGATCCATCTTTTTTTCTCTGACTGCTTTTAAGATCTTCTCTTAGTCTCTGGTATTCTCTAGTTTTACTACATTTTATGTAAGTGTGGAAATCTTTTTATATATCTTGTATGTTAACCTTCCTGTATCTGTATATTTATGTCTGTCATGAGTTCTACAAAAATTTCAGTCACGACTCTCAAAATATTGCCTCTCCTCCATCTCTCTATTCTCCTCTTTGGGCTCTTGATGAAATATGGGTTATACCTTTCATCCTACATGCCATATCTCTTAATCTCTCTTTTTCATATTTTTCATCTCCTTGTCTATCTGTGCCTTATTCTGAATAATCTCTTCAGATACATCTTCCAATTAACTAACTCTCTTCAGCTATATTTAACGTGCTAACTCTTTCATTTACATTTTTATTTCAATAAATTACACTTTGATTGATACAAGTTCCATTTTGTTCCTTTTCAAATTTGGTCACTTTTGATGGTCTCTTATTGCTTGTTAATTTTTGTAATTTTGTCTTTTGTTTCTTCAAGCATTTCATAATTATTTGATATTTTATATCTGATAATTTCAATATCTGAAAGCCTTGGGGGGTCTACATCTATTGCTTTTTATATCTGCTGACTCTCATTCATGGGGATTTGTTTCCTTCTGTGTTTAATTACCTTTCATTGTCAACTCATCTTTGGTTTGTCTTACTCTCAGAGTTAGTCTCAGATTCAGCTTTCCCACCTGGCCACTGACCCCAGTCTAGTCTTCCACTACACTGTTAATCTAAACATTTGCCCCTGGGTAATCCACATTTTATGAGTGCTAAGTAGTCTGGATTCACCTACGCTTCCAAACTTTTATACATGCTGCTCCTTTTGCCTGGAATATGTGTCCTTTCATCCTTTTTTTTTCACCTGATTAACTAACTAATCTTTCTAAGACTAAGTTCAGGCCTGTTCTCCTCCAAGACACCTTTGCTGACAACCCCTAATCTGGGTAAGATGACCCTCTTCCTTGCTCCCAGAGCACCCTGTATCTACCTCTGTCATAGTATTTTTCACACTGTATTGTAATAATCTGCTTATGTATCTGTAGCCCCCACTGAGGCTGTCTTCTGGGAGAGGTCGTGGCAGAGTTACACTGTTTCCCTGGTGTCTAGCACAGGGTCTGGTCCATGGTGGATTAACAAATGTTTGCTGAATAAATGGAAGAATACTTGAATGAATGAATGAATGAATGGGTGAGTGAGTGATGATTTGGGAGTGGACAATTTGGGGTTTGCAAGCAAGGTGAAGGATGGCGAAGGAAGATGAGAAGAAAGGAGAAAAGGGCAATAAAGTTGTCATTTCATTTCATCAAAAGTTTATTGAGCATCCAGTATGTGCTAGGCACTCTGCTAGATGCTAGTAATACAAAGATGAAGATCAAAACAAAACCACTTCCTTACTTACCCCCCCAAATTTAAGGCAGATTTGGCTTGAACCTGGGAAGCTGGCCCCTCAGGGATTCAGCACCAGGGTATGGAGTACAGCATGCTCTCATCTCACCCTAACCTTCACCCCTGCCTCTCAAGGCTGACCAGCATGTACCCCTTCTCCAAGTCCTTCGTCTCCTACCTGCCTGAGCAACTTTCCCCTGCATACATTATCTCATTCTGGCTGAGGCATCTGGGAAGGCTAGGGGAGGGGTTCTGAGTAAGAGGAGCTGCAAAGGCATACCTGCCCAAATGAGCCTGGAGAGGTACACTGGGACAGGGAGCTGGGAGGGGCCTGCAGTCCAGGTAAGGGTAGGGGGGGCCAACTAGTGATGTTGTTGCCCTTGGGGCTGTGACAAAACTTGCCCCTGTGTGGAGTGGTGGGGAACAGTGGCCTTGGGAGTTGCTCTGTGGGATGGTGGAGAGGCAGAGCTGGAGCTTAAGAGGTTGCGGAGGTGCCAGGAATGCAAAGGCCCCTAGAGGCATCAGGGAGGAGAGGACAGAACACACAGAGGGCCTCCTTCTCTTTCAGCTTTTTAATTGCCCTCTCTCCTCACACATAGACTATTGTCTCTCCTATGAACTGGTCAAGAGGTGGTGGCATGGGCATGGCCTGGCTACACAGTGGCCCAACCTCTCTGTACTCTGATGTTTGTGTGATTAGGGAGTCTGCCCTTGTCCTCTCCTGGGATCTGAGCATCTGGGAGCAGGGCAGATGGGAGATCGGAGGTCAAGGGTTGGATCATGGCCCCCTGACATGCTGGGGAGCAATAAGCTTCCTCCTCCCCCTACCATTTCTCTTACAGCTGGAGGAAGCCCAACAACCTTTCCCAGGGATAATGATTGTTTGAAAGGTTTGTTTGTAAGGAAGCCAGGGAGAAGGCAGGGGTGCCAGGGGTTAAAAAACAGTTCTTCACATGATCTAGCTTTCTGGGCCAGGGCAGTGAGTGAGACTCCCTTCTCTATAGGAATAGAGATGGGAAGAATGCTTGGCATGCCGCTGAGGGAGGCTCTGGGAGGAGGCCAAGCACGGGAGGCTTGAGACCTTTGCCCGTGCTAGGGCCCAGGTCAGGGGGCAAATGAATATACTTGAGCTCCTCTCTCACCAGCTGGTAGGTGCCCAGGTACCAGGTGCCCAGAGAAGAGTCCTTTAGGGCACTGCCTTCTCAGTGATTCCTCGGATGCTCAGAACAGCCCCTGTACACTTGGTAACCAGCCTCTGACTTTCTCTTAGTTTAGGACAGTCGTATGTTTTGGGCAAGTGGCCTCTCAAAGCTGGAATGGCCAAAAAAGTGCCCCAGGAACCAGGCGTTGGTTCGCAGGGAAGGGAGGTGGGTGGGAAGCATGAGAACTCCCTGGGAAGGGCACAGGATAGTCACGGGGGTTAGGTTATTTATGTTAGTTTCCATAAGACCCTTGGCGGATTGGGCTGGAAATTTAATAATCTCTATGGTCCTAAGAGGGCACACAACCCATACCCACTGAGGACACAGCCAGTGAACCGGAAGCAAATATGACTCGGTTTCACCACCAGATCCACTCTCCGCTGCCCCGCTGCGACCCCCATCCGCGCACACTAGCGTTCGTCCACACGCGAGACTCGCGCGCCCCCCTGGGGACGTCCCCTCGCCTCCCGCGGGCGGCGGCCCCGCTTCCCGGCCCTCCCCCGGCCGCGGGCCGCAGGATGCGGGCGCCTGCCGGGGGTCCCGCGGCGGCTCAGGCGCTGATTTCCACCGGGCCGGCCTCGTCTTGCTCGCGGATCAGGTGCACACCCGCAGTCCGCAGTGTGCGTGAGGCGCTGCGCGAGCGGCCGGGCGAGCCCGGGGCCCGGGGCGGGGACGTGTGCGTCCTGCCCGTGGCGGGGGAGCGCGCTGGGGAGCGCGGGTAGCGGCGGGCCGAGCGGATTGGCAGCCCCGGCGAGCGGCCGGGTACTGCTGGCGACAAGGAGTAGCCGGGAGGGCCGGGCTCTGTGGCGCTCCGATCTCGGGACTCGGGCGTGGGGCTTTCCTCGGGCTCCGGGGAGTCCTGCAAGGATATGCGCCGCTGGGGTCAGGGGACAGCCGGCCGGTCTGGGAGCGCGCCTGGTGTTCGAGGACGCTGGGAATACCGACGTGAAGGAGACACAATTCCCTCCACACTCCCACCTCCTCGAAGGCCGCAGACATAGGTCTGGTTTTTTGAGCGATACAAGACACTTAGCATGGTGCCTGGCACATAACATTATGCTTATAATAAGCGTAATGAGGTGCTCAGTACATGTTGAAATGCATTAGCTTGAGTGCTTTGTCCACTTATTCTCTCTTTCCACTGCTTGGAAAGAGTGGACAGCCTGGGACAAGAGTTAGTTGTGGAATAGTGGGGGAAATCACCAGAGTTGATGTCCAAAGACCTGGATTTGAAGCCTAGACCTGTCACTTGTTTACTTGTTTGATCCAGGCAAGTCATTTCACCTCTGTCAGCTTTATTTTTCTAATCTCTGAAGTGAGGATGACACAAACATTTCTCAGGGTTATTCTGAGTACTATAAAGAGATATCAATATGACATGGCTACCTAGCACCAGGCATGTGGTAGGGGCTCATTGCACGTTCGCGGGGCACGCAGCCCAGAGCTGCTCACCTTGTCCTTCAGGATATAGAGTGCCATGGGGCTCTTCCGTTCCTGCTCTCCACTTCGTGGGAGGGTGTCTGCTGCACAGGGCAAAGAATGGGGTGGCTAGCCCAGGTACAGAACCCTTCCACCAGCCAGCACCTACACTCGTTGCCTCCCAAGTGGCCTGTCAAGGCCCCACCACAACCTCCACCAAAAGATCCAGAATACCCAGGGTCCTACCTTGGCTGCACCTCTCCCTGCTCTGCAGTCTTCGTGCAGTTGGTGGAGGAAGGGGCCCCGCAGAGCTGGCTTCCTTGTCGCCCAGTTCTGCCTTTTCCCAGCAGCCCACTGATCTGAGTGATGCTGAGATGGGTGAGTGGGTGGCTGGGAGCTCACCTTCAGGTTTTAGGTGGTCATCATTCTGGTCCATATATTCCAGGGAGTTTTGCTTCTCCAATTTCCTCTTCTTCCTGCAAATCAGCCCAGCACCCAGTGAACAGAACTATTGAGTGTGAGCAAAAGAAGGTCTGGGGGCGGGGACACAGGGGGATCTCATGGTTGTAAAAGAGGCCTTGTAGCAGGAAGATAGGCTGAGTGTGGTGGGGTGGGAGTGGGATAGTCCATAAGCTTTGGAATGAGTCACATCTAGGTTTGCATCCTGAGTCTGCTGCTAGCATTGTGACTGTGGGCAAGTCATTTAACCAATCTGAGGCTCAGCATCATTATCTGTAAACCGCAGATAATCATACTTAAAAGGTAGCATGCCAACAACCACCACAATGCCTGGCCCACAAAAGGTGGCCTGCAAGTAAAACCATTATTAGTAATGCTGGGGTTGTTGAGGGTTATGAGCATAGGCTGTGGTTCCATATACAACACACACAGTGGTAAGATGGATCTCCTGGGAGGAAAGGCATTTAAAGAAACTAAGAAAAACATAGAGCTTGGGATTGGGTGAAGTGAAGAGTTAGGGTGCTCAGGATGTGGAACTTGGAGAATTACCTAGACTTTTTGGAGGGTTTCCAGCAGGCACAGACTGTCACCAAGGTCACAAGAAGGAAGATGCCTCCTGTCGACAAGATTATGTAAAGCGAGCTTCTTCCTAGGAAGAGAGAGAGACAGAGGTGGGAGAGACTTCAGAGGGGGCAATGGGTCTGGTAAGGAGAGCTTCCTGAAGTGGAAGGAAGAGAAGAGGAGCCCCAGGCAGCATGGCTGGCCAATGGCTGAGCTTGCCCAGAGCCCACTTCCCACCTGTTGCTGTCCTCCACGGAGAGTTGGCCCATGTCTGCCTCTCTCTCCCTCCAGTGGCACTGTCTGGGACGTCCTTAGCCCCTCATGGGCACCTGCCTCTCAGGATTTTCAGTCCTGAGAGAGGGCATGCAGGGAGACTCACTGTATACGGTGATCTTGACGGGCAGACTGCGGCCCTGGCTGATGGGGTTCTCGACCACACAGCTGTACAGGTCGTCATCCTCCATGAGCACTCGGGTGATGGTGAGCACCTTTTGGTCGGGGGACAGGAGCATTCGAGAGTCATTCAGGAGGGGCTTGCCATCCTTCAGCCAGGTGTAGCTGGGCTTGGTGCCATTCTCGTGCGAGCAGTTCAGAGTGAAGGCCTCGCTGAGCTCCAGTACAGTGGTTGAAGCCACTAACACCTGCGGTCTCGAAATGGGCACTGAGCCCCAGGGGTGGGGGAGCCTGTGAGCCATGGGCCAAAAATCTTCTCCCTTCCCCTTTAGAACTCCCTACCTTCCAACACATCACAACTCAATGTGTGATTTGAGAAGGCCCTTCAGAAATCATCTGTCCAATTCTTTGCCATAATCCATATATCCGTCTATTCATTCATTCACTCACTCATTTATTTACCAACTATTTGTTGAGCACCTGCTAAGCAGAGGAGGTACAATGCTGAACAAGCCATGGTCCCTGCCTTCACCTTCCCTTCCCCTTTTCCCAAATACCTTTCCAAGATGTCTTAAACTGACCCAGCCTGGAACATATTTTAGTTGGGTTAAGTCTAGTTCCAACTATCTAGGTTCAAATATTGGCTCTGTCACTTACTAGCTGTGTGACATTGGGCAAGTTACTCAACCTCTTTGTGCCTCAGTTTCCCCATCTGCAAAATGGGGATAATAATATAACTATCCCTAGATTATAATAAGCATTAAATGAGTCAGTGTATGCAAAGCACTTAGAATAGCTTCTGGCACCTAGTAAGCATGCTATACCTGTTAGCTGTGCTTATCTGCTTATCTGCAGACTTCTAACATCCAAATGGCTCACTCTCAGCTCCAAAGTTGCTTTTTGTGTTGATTTTTCTTGGTCTAGCTAGTGTTCTGGGCAGACCCTGCCCCAGTCCCAGTCACCAGTCCTGCCTCTTTCCCCACCAGTGCACTTTACCGTCTACAGTGAGGTTGATGGTCTTCTCCCCCGTGAAGGTGTCATCTGTGATGGAGATCTCGACCTCATAGGTGCCCTCATCAGCCAGCTGCAGGTCGCTCAGAAGCAGGGAGCCATTTTCAAAGAGGCGGATGCGGTCGCGATAGTCAGGCCGCAGGGTGCCAATGACCTCTGTGCCAATGGACTGTACCACCGTCACTGGCTTGTCCCGCTTCAGCTGCCACTTCACCACGGGCTTGTCACTGCTGGTGCTGCTGTACTGCACAGAAAGCAGGGCTGACTTCCCCACTGTGCCGTGGATCAGGCGCACCGGGCTGGTGATGTTCACCCCCTCCAGGGACTCTGTGAACAGAGGCCCATGAGGAGAGGGCAGTGTCAGGCCCTTGGCTCCTCATCCCACCCCCCCTTTAAGTCCTCTGATCTCTCCATGCCTCATCATTCTGGGCCCTTCACTCCTTGTCAATCCTTCCTTTTTACTCTTTGGTGTCATCTCCTTTCCCACTGTAGCTCTAGGTGCCTCTGCTACTCCATCATCCCTCATACACACCCCACTGCCCTCAATCCTTCTTATCTCTGGCCCTCTGCCTCTGGCGGTTTTCCCCATTGCCTTTCTCTTGAGGAAGATTCTAGCTCACCCACACCCTATGTGCTCCATTCATAGAAATATTTATTGAGCACCTCCCATGTGCCAGGCACTGTTCTCTGTCCTTGGGATATATCAATGAGCAAAACAGACAGACGTCCCTACCCTCCGAAGCTTATAGGTCATTAGACCTCGGGGAGAGTTTGATTTTCGTCTTGCGTGGGGGAATGGAGAAAGCATGAGAACATAGATTCACAAAGGAAGGAGTGTGTCACAAGACAGCACCAATAAAGGGGAAGGTGAGGGCCTGAAGACAACTGTACCACTTTTTATTCATAGCAAGAGCCTCCCCTGTCCCTGCCCCAGCTGAATGCAACATCTTACTAGGCCTGCCCAGTACAGAACAGCCCTGCAACTGGGTTGACGGTTTTGGAAATTCACTCAAACTCCAGCGCAATTTGCATCCTCCATAGAAGAGGGATTTGGGATGGGCAGAACAGAGTTTGGAATCAGGAGGCCTTGTAAGACTGGGCTCCACCAATTCCTGGCTGTGTGGAATTGGGCTGGTGATCTTGCTAGGCCTCATTCTTTTCGTTTGGAAAATAAGGATCCTACCAATGATAAGAGCAACTTCCTCATCAAGCTCATGGGGTTGTAAAGCACAATATGTGTGTCAGTTATGGTGTAGGGGAGAGAACACAAGACTAAGCATCAGAGATTTGGGCCCTATTGTTGGCTTACGACCTAGGAGAAGTCATTTATCTGTTCAGGGCTCAGATTCCCTATAGGTAAGATGACTAGTAACCTAGATGGTCTCATCAGTTTGTTCCAGCCCTGAAATTCTGGGATTTTACCATGTTGTCCAATGGCTGTCCCACCCAGAGATACATCTCACATTTCAGAGCTCTCTTAGGAGCCTTGGGGCCTGAACAGATGCTGTTCATTGCTGTCACCTGGCCTTGTAGAGAAGTACAACCACCCAAAGGAGGGTCTTCCGGAGAGGATGTCAGTTGGGAACAGGGCTGAGTTTAGCTGAATAGACACATGCGTGTCAGCTGTTTCCTTTGACTGTCATTGCCTCTGAGGCTCCCTCTTTCCTTCTCACGCCTATTTCCCACTTGGCTACTGCTGCAGTTTAGACGTGGAGAAGCTGAGCTTTACTATACCATTCCTTCTTCCTCTCCTTGGCCTGGAGGACCCAGACCCAACCAGGAGGCAATTAAACTAAAAGGTTAGTTGTCGAGATCAAAGCAAATTTAATTTCCTAAACATATTCAATTCATTTTTGGAACAAGTGCTTTGTTAAGTAGTGAGCTCTTCACCTTTGGAAGTGGTCAAGTAAAGGCCAACTGACTACTCCTTCACCTCTCTGTGTGTCAGTTTCCTCCTCTGTCTAATGAGGTGATGGGACCAGATTAGCTCTAGAGGCCTTCCCAACTCTGACATGCTATGATCCATTGCCTGCCAGGTATGTTAGAATCATAAAACCTTAAGCATGGAAGAAACTACTCTAATGATTAAAGCTGCCATGTGTATGAATATTATATACTTGTTATTGAGAGGATTCTTAATTTTGGGACAGTAGAATGGATAAAATCAACTATTTTCAAATATTTTTTATTAAAGGTATTTTTGTTCCCATAAAACCTTATATAAAAATGAAAAGAAATGAAAACTAGTTCCAGATTGCCTGCTTTGGTAGAAGAGGTGGTGGAGACCAGAGTCTTGTCCTCCCCAATAACTTGGGGAGCTACTAGGAATCCCTGTGGCTCTGTGTATTGGACTGAAATCCATTTGGCCACATGATCCTTAAGATTCCTTCCAATTCTGTAATTATTTAGTGGGGATTTCCTTCCTAGCAACTGCTAGGTCCTAGGCTTGGCTTGATTTAGAAAAGCAAGTTTTAAATTTCCCTGAATAGGCAAATAGGCTTTGTTATGTCACTTGAGGTGGTCCTGAAAAAGTCATTGAGCTTCCCTAAAGACTGTCATGGTGATGATCAAAGAGCTGGGGCATGTCAGGACCCAGTCTGAAGCAGTGGGTATGCACATGAGGTTTATATATGCAGGGCCATCCTGGGGTTTAGCAAATCTGTGTAATGACCCCAAGCACCAAAATTTGAGGGTTCTCTTTCCCTTCTTCTGGGAGGCTGGACAGTGATAGTCCCAGCCCCAAAGAACAGTGGAAGGGGTTCCTCCTCCCCCTTATCTTATCCTCCCCCTTATCCTTTGTTATCTTCCCTGGCCCTTCCTGGAGCTTCCCCTACGTCTACTCTCTTCCATCCCATAGAAGGTCTCAGTATTCCTTTTATGATGTCTTCTCCTCCTCAAGTCTGCTTTGTCTGCCAATTTAAACTTGATTTCTTCTGGATAAAAACGTTGGAGAAGCTATAGCATATGGCTTGCCCTAGGCCTCACCCTCCTCTGGTGGACGCCTTCCTCATGCCTGTGAATGTGGGTATGCCCGTGAGTCTCAGGGATTTTGTACATGTGTTCAGAAGTGAATGGAGCTTTCTCAGAAGCTGACAAAGAGAGCATTTTGCTGAGTAAACACAGTTTCCCAAAACTCTCTTTTGCCAAAATTGGTGTCAGTATTAAGTTCAGGGTTCTACAACGTTCAAGGGACACAGAGAACTGGGACAAGTGCCAAAGCAGGACACAGAAATGAGGAAATGGCTAACAACTACAATCCACAGTAGAAACAAAAGGGACTAGGACTGTTGAACCTTGAGAAGCAATTAACTTAACCATTGTCCTTGGTCTCTGAGGCATCATTATGTAGAAAGTGTCTGTTCCCACCCAAGGCTGAACAAAAGGAAATTGACATGGGAGCAAGATGTACCTCTCAACTTAATGCCACATGGGCCAGGTAAGAGGCCCCTCGTCAAGCAGGATTTTGACCTGCTCTGACACCAAGGAATGTCAAGCTTTATAGTATGAAAATGTAGCTGCCAATAGCCTGCGGTTCCCTTAATAGCCTCTTCCTTTACAGAAATCATCATCTGCTCATTTTTGTGTGCTCTTTTTTGCTGGGCAAAGGTTTCCTTTTACCAGCATTTGCCTTAAATTTACCTTTTAAAAGTCTCAATGAGACGGTGCCCAATGTGTATTCTAGGATTTGGTCTATATACACCTAATCCATACTCTTTAACACCATGACTGCAGTTATGTCCCTTTTTATCTGAGGGGGTTTTTGTCTTATTTGGATCTGTTTCCATAAGGAAGTCCCTCCATCCCTTTGGATATCACAGATACCCTTCTCTAGGCTTCCTCCAACTATATTATTTCTTTTTTGAGTTGTGGTGAGCAGAGCTGCATACAATAATCCAAGAGCAGCACACAGCATGGTTTTCTAAAAGGACAAAAATATTTCTTTCTGTTTTTGGTTTTTACTGTCCTTCCTAATGAACGATGCTCTGGGAAAACAACCCCCTCCTCTGCTCCTATTGTATAGGGGCACCACTGATTGTACATATGTTGTGGTTATTGTGTTGTATTCTTATGTTGTTATCCTCTTGAGACCTACAAGGGCCTAAAAGAGTATGAAATCATTTTAAATGTCAATCACTTAGGAATGTAGGAGAAAACCAGCAAACAGAAATTGTGAAGAAGGCCCTTGGGATTGTGATCTTAGGGCTAAAAAGGTGGAACCTAGGTAAGGGACTTCTTCTAATTGGGTGCCCAGAGGTTGGAATAGTTCTCGGATCCTGGAGAGTAAAATCTTCCAAATCAGATTATCTAGATTTATGGCATGCTGTGTTTATGTCTGTAAGTTAGTGTACTAGCCTCTAGAAAAGCTTTGTTTGATTGTTCCATGAATTGGGCTGTGATGAATTTAGGAAAGCCTCATTTGTCCATATTTTAGGGACAGAGCATTAGAGACTGAGTATTACTTGCCTGAGGCTAGCTTGGTGGTTCCTGCCATAAACACAAAGGATTAAGGTAAATCTTTGGGAGCCAGGGCCACACGGTCCAGCCCCCCTTTATTGCCAATCTTTTTTTTTGCTGAGGAAGATTTGCCCTGAGCTAACATCTGTTGTCAGTCTTCCTCTTTTTTTTTTTTTTTTTTTATGTGAGTCGCTTTCACCACCACTGACAGATGAGTAGCATAGGTCTGCACCCAGCTATTGCCAATCTTAAAAACTACATTTCCCAGCCTCCCTTGCAGTTAGGTATGGCCACATGACTGAGTTTTAGCCAATAGGACCAGTGGAAGTGGTAAGTATCACCTATAGGCTGGTATAGAAAAACCTCCCTCCTTTTTTTTTGTTTTTTTAAATTCTCTACCTGAAAGAAATGGAGATAAACCTCAGGGTGACCATTGGAAACACACGTCAAAGTTGATAGTGCTAATCCCTGAAAAACTTGATGCAGCAGAGTCCTTCCCCATCCCAGCCCTAATCTGGAACTGCACTGTACTACCACATGGTTAATTCCAGGAACTTAAATTTTGGAATTTATTTGTCACAGAAGCTGGCATTTTCTTAACTAATATATTGAGGATGGCAGAAATTCCTTATAGAACCTCAGCTCTTTATTGCTCTTGAATCCACAGCACTACAATGGCCTGACCCTGCATTTACATCTTACCTGTCATAGGTCATAACTAATATCTTGTTAGCATTTTTTATATTTAGAAAATTTTTGCTATATTTATTGTTATGTTTTCCCACACAGAAGATCCTTTGTCACTTTTTGATTTTGCCTAGTCATACTGACTGACAAGATCTTTCTGTAATTTTTTTTCCTTACCATTTGATGACCTAAAGGAGTTTAGGGACATCTCTGGTTTGTATATTTCATTGTGCACTTCCTATCCCCAACTTACTGTCTCTCTGTTCAGCTCTCATTATTTCCTCAATTCACTGTAATTTCCACTGAGACTGCTCTCACTAAGATTAATAGTAATCTCTTAATTGTCATAGCCAATGGACTCTTTTAGATCCTTATTATACTACACCTCTTTGATACATTTGACATTGGTTCTCCAGAAAACACTCAAATCCCTTGCCTTTCTGGGCTGTAGTCTTCTAGTTTTCCCTCTGTTTCTCTAACTGTTCCTTCTTGGTCTCCTCAATGGGCTCTTTTTCCTCTACCAATCTTGAGGTCACTCAATGTTCCATTTTCAGCCCATTTTCTCCTTCTAGGTGATATTATCCATTCTCATTGTTTTAAATCTCACCTATGGGCTGACAGCTTCCAAAGACGTCTCTCTAACCCTAACCACCCTGTCCCCCACCTTCAGGCTATTTAACATTTTCCCACAGATGTCTCATGGGCATTTCAACCTCAACATGGACAATACTAATTATCATCTCCCCCAACCCTATCCCTTTTTCTGTTTAAGGTTTCACAGAGAAACCCTACCTCCCTCTCTGGGTCCTCCCACTTTCTATCAATCACTGGGTCTTGACTTCCCCTCAAAAATATTATCTCAACATGCCTCATTCCCTCTGTCCTTATTCTAATTCTAGCCCATGTTATTTCTCTCCTGAACTATTGCAATAGCCTTGTTAAGGGTTGAAGTGTGTCCCCTAAAATTCATATGTTGAAGTCCTAACTCTCAGTACCTCACATAAGGTGACCTTATTTGGCAATGGGGTTATTGCAGAGGTAATAAGCTAAGATGAGGTCCTACAGGAGTAGGGTGGGCCCCTAATCCAATGTGACTGGTGTCCTTAATAAAACAGGAAATTTGGACACAGATACAGGCGCAGGAGAAAGTCACATGAAGATTATGCTGCCACAAGCAAGGGAACTACCAGAAGCTAGCAGAGAGGCCTGGAATAGATCCTTCCCAAGCACCTTCAGAAGGAGTACGGCCTTGCCGATACCTTGATCTCGAACTTTTAGCCTCTACAACTGTGAGACAATCCATTTCTATTGTTTAAGTTCCCCAATTTGTGGTTCTTTGCAGCCTGAGCAAATGGATACAGCCTCCTTTCCTATCTTGTTTGCCTCCAGTTCCCCCACCAATGCCTCACTGCAGAGTGAGCTATCTGAAGTACACGGCTGGCCCTGTCAGTCCCCAGATGAAAAACCATTCAATGCCCTCCTCCTCCATTGTTTACAGATTATATTCCAGTTTCCTTAGTATGGTTTACAAGGCTCTTGCCTAACTCAATTCACACTTTCCTCTCCAGCAATGGTGAACGGCTGGGCTGCTCCTAAACACGTGATGCCATTTCAAGATGTTGACCTTTGCTCATTTTCTCAACAATATGCCCACTCCCACACCTGCCTCTTTTTCTTATCCTTTAAAATTTAGTGCAGACATTCCTAGGAAACCTCCCCTGATATTCCCCCACCCCCGCCCTGCACCACTAGCACCAGCTTCCTGATGGGATAGGTGACCTCTCTCTGATCCTGGGCATCCTCTGCATATCTGACTCATAGTAGTTTCTGCCTTTTATTAAAATAATCTCTGCGTCTGTTGCCTAACTAAATTGTGAACTCCTAGGCTCTCTGGAATAGTGTGTGTATGTGTGTGTGTGTGTGTGTGTGTGCATGCGCATGCACGTAAACACATATATTTAAAATAAGATCAATTCTCCAAGGAGTTGGTAGGGGGTGGTACAGGAAGTAGGTGTCTATGGCCTGGGGTGAGTTATGAATAGGTTGGCGTCACTATCCAAAACCAAGAGACTTGTTATATCCGAAGCTTCTTTCATCTCCCTTGCTGTTTTACATTCAGAGAAGCCAGGGTAGGGAATTGGGAAGGCACAAAACCAAGATTTCCCCTACCCCTCTAAGCCCCACCATAATCCCTTGGAAAGAATGCAGGACTGGCCCACGCTAACAAGACATCCCATAAGAAATGGCTCATTGCCCTCCAACTACTGTACTGAATGCCGTGGGAGCTCCAAAGTCATGCAGCCTTTTGGGGGAGGGGGGCAGGGGCTGGGCAGGAGGCACACAGAATGAAGAAATACATTCAACACTAATGCCTGAATTCACTGAGATGCTTCCCACAGCAGCTGAGCTCTCTCCCCTCCTCCCGCCCCAAAGGCATTCTGGCCCTCAACTCTCCCCTCCCTCTCCTTTGAAAGCCCCGGGTCTCTTTACCAGACCATTTCTTACCCTTCTGGTCTCCTACCTGTCTGGATCAGAAGAAGGTAGACAAAAGGAGCGAGGCGCAGGGCACTGAAGGCTCTGGACAGGGCTCTTCTTTCTCTCTTCATTTTGGGTGGCGTTCTCCAGCTCTGGTGCAGACAATTAGCATGATTTCTCCACTCTGGGCACGTCCCTTTGTACCACTCGGAGTTTCTCTGCCCGAACACAACCCTGCCAACTTCCCTCTGAATACACAGAGCTCTGTGTATTGCTGGACTTGTGCTTTCCTCTCTTTCAGACCTGGCATTTTCTGGTTTCAAAGCCCTACATCCCCAGTTCAGAAGGGGGTATCTGCTTAGGAGATCATCTCCAGTCCAGGTCCAGTCTGATGGGTCCCAGAGGCCCAGCAGTTCTACGCTGTCTGCGCTGAGCCCCACTACCAGGGGGAGATGAGGATTTGGGCTCAATGAGGGTTCTGGGCTGGGACACACACTAAACTGGACCTTGTGTCCCAGCCTATCCTGTCTCCACCTCACGCTTCTTGTTCCTGCGAAGGAGGGTATGTTCCGGGAACAGACGTCCAATAAGCTCTGAAAAGGGAGGGAGAGGAGCTTTTAAAAATCTGGGGAATGAGAGACTCCAGAGAGCTGCTGAAGAAATGGAAAAGCATGTTCACCCCAAAGGAAGAAAATTGGAAAATGGCTTGAATTCTATTATTTTCATACGTGTCCTGGTCTTGCTTGAGATCCTCTCTCCTATCATAGAATCAGGCCAGGGACCTCATTCCAGAAGCCACCCTGTTCCTTCCCCTGCCTCCAGCCTATTTTCTAGAACATGTCCAAGCAAAGATGAAGGTAATACCACAACAGCCAGCATCCTGGGGTTCTGTTACCAGCTTCACAGCCTAACAATCTCCTCTTCTCTTGAGGCTGTGATGAGGAGAATCACCCTAGCTCCACTGTGACCCCTCGTTACTATGTCCACACCTGCTCATGAGGGCTGTCAGTGGAACGTATGCTTACTAACTGTGTGATCCTGGGACAGGCTCACAACTTGGTTAAGCCTCCGATTTCACATCTGTAAAATGGGGGAAATAGTAGCTTTCTTGTAGGAATTGTTGGGAGGATTGATCAAGATTTGGCACACAGTAGAGTTCCTAGGAAAATCTTTGTTAAAGATTTTAAACTTTTTTTTAACTGCTTCTTCTTTTTCATTCCTGTAGGGGTCTTTACATCTTGTGATACCAAAGTTTACAACTCTCGTCTTGGTCGTCTCTAACCCTAGGCTTAGATTTGTAAATGCAGCAGTTACCTCTAGAAATATTCTCTTTCCAGCCTGAGTAGGCCAGGTTTCTAGAACTGAAGATTCATTGCATAGTCCATCTGAGCTGAAGGATGGGGAGAAGAATTGGGAAGCACTTGTTTTGAACTTCATGGAGGGACTCCAAAAAATATTCTGAAATACATAAATGAGATTTTTTTTTCCTTTTGCATCTCTGTGTCTATTACTTTTACCTAGACAGCTCAAGGCACCTGTCTGCCTCTGAAAGAGTTAACGTTGCTTCAGCAGGTATACAATGCAAGTGAGAAAGTCAATATTCAGCTTCTGACGTCTAAAATAGTATTTTAGAGTCAGTAGCAAGATGAAAGGCTTGAAAGCCAGTCTTTGTAAGGGATAAAAGGATATTTTAATTTCTTTTATCTACCCCTTTGACATATCATGAGCAGCCTGTGGACCGGATCTTAGAGTTCTTCTGTACTGTAGACAAATGACCTCTTTTGCCTGTGATGGCTAGGCCTTGAGTCTTATTGTCTGAGGGTAAAAGGAGGATATGATGTTCAGGAAATAGCCTGAAGTCTGCCTTTTTTAGCCTGAAGGACTGTGGAAAGAAAAATAGAGGGAGACCTAAGAGGGATCTAAGTTCTCATCATTTCCCCTTCCCCTGCCCTAGGGATGGACCTTAGGCTCCTATACCCATGCAGAATATGCGAGTGCCCCAAAGTGCCCACAAGCTCCCTTGAGGGCACCCAGAGATGTGGAGAGGGTAAAGAGCTGGCAGAAGGCTGAACATGGAGCAAAGGGGCTACACTGTGCAGGCAACACAGGGGGGCCACTGATCAAATAGGCATTTGGGTTACAGGGACATAAGGTAACAGTCAAGCCAACTTGTTCTTCCACATAACACATACGGTTGAACTCAGCTGTCCCAGCTTCCCTTGTGTTACCCTTCCATGTGTGCTTTGGGTTTTTCCCTGTGGGTGTGTCTGTCCCATCTAATTCTTGATGATGCAGGCTGGGTATTTTTTTTAGGGACATCCTGATTATGAACATTACGTTCGTTCAACTTCAAAAGTGTATCTATACTTTTCAGTCCACATGGCCTACTTTTGGGTCAGAAAATGTAGTTACTGTGGCCATCTTCTCATTAGCCTGGGAGTTTCTCTGGGGGTAGGGACTATAACTCTTCATTCTTATGGGTCTCCTCACAGGGCCCAATTCTGAGCTCTGCATAGTGTGGTTGCTCAAACAATGGGGTAGACAGACTACTTGACTGGCACCAGTAATGCCCTTGCTTAGGCAAAGCCTGTGCCCCTTCCCACTCTGAGCACTTCAGCAGTTCATTTCGGAGGGCATTGTTCTTTTCTGAGTGGCATGGGCCAGTCCTCTTGGCCCTTCTGCTATACACAGTTGCTTCAGGCCATTCCTCATTTGGCACCCCCTCTGGGGCTCTGAGATCTCAACTCCTCACCACTGTACCCATGGCAGCCCTGGCCTGCTGTACCCAGACCACTGTGCTGAGCGCTCAGACAGTGCCCCTGCATCTCCGAATGGAGCCCCTGCCTCCACACAAACACACACACACACACACACACATGCATCTGCCCACTTAAACTCAGAAGTGTTCCGTCTCTAGAACAGGAAGCAGTTAGTGATTTTGACTGAGTCTTCGCCCTACACAGACGTCTGTGGGAATTGGGGGGAAAAAAAACCTGGCTGGGGAATTATAAAAATTAGCTCTGTCTTCAAAGAACTGAAGGTCTGGTAGGAGTGGCAGAACAATCACAGAGCAACGGACTCACCCCACAGCAAGAGACATTTGAGATTACCTTGTCCCACTTCTACATTTCTGAGCTGAAGGAATCGAGGGACTGAGAGGTTAAATAATTTGCCCAGAGTTAAACTATCTAACGACAGACCCAGGACTCCTAAAGTTACTTAATAGTAGACGCAAGAAGTGGTAAAACACACATACACACACACGCACACGTGCACACACACGAATGATATGTAAATAAATACCAATTTTAATAACTCTACCGTCAGATTTAAGAATGTCCCCACCCACGTGGCCTGTTCCATTGTCTGCAGGCTCCAGGAAGAATGCTCTAGTACTGATACTACTACTAGAGAGGTTTGGCCTTACCAGTACCATAACATCAGTGGTGATTTTTATATTTAGCACTCTCCCCCTCCTTCCCTTCATTCACTTCCTGTTATTAGTTGAGTCATACCTGTCTCTCCACTAACTTGTGAATAATCTTTGGCAACAGAATGAAAAAAAATCTTCCAACAAATGGCACCCAAATTCCTCTTACAGAGGGAATTGTCTTTAGCAAGAAAAAGATATGCCACGGAGTAGTAGTTAAAGCCTTAAGCATAAAGAGCCAAAGAACAAAAAGATAAACTGCTGTACATAGAAATAAGCAGGAATTTGGGGACAGGGAAAGAGCAGAAAGGAGAGAAATGAAGAAGGGGAGAGGTAGGGGAGCTGAAGAAAATTGAAGAACAGCTTGCATTGTCACACTGTAAAACCTTCCTCCTCTGTTTTCTTCAAAACTTTCAGAAAAGCTTACTACATGCAAATGCAGTATATGTGTGTGCTTCCTGCTGATAGAATATGGCCAAGGTGATAGGATAGCCCCTCCCTTGATTAGCTCATGTTGTAGAAGACTCAGACTTAGCAGACCAGAGAGAGAGATTGTCTCGCTGGCTTTGATGAAATAAACTGCCATGTTGTGAAAAGGTCACATGGCAAGGAACTGCTGGTGGCCTCTAGGAGCCGAGAGCCACATTCAATGAGAAAATAGGGACCTCAGTCCTACAATCACAAGGAATCGAATTCTTCCAAAAACCACATGAGCTTGGAAGAGGACATGGAGCCTCAGAAAGAAATGCCGACCTGCTGAGACCTTAATTGAAGTCTGGTGACACTCGGAGCAGAAGACTCCGCTGAGCCATGCCTGCGCTCCTGATCCCCAGAAATGGTAAGATAACAAATGTACATTGTTTTAAGCTGCTGAATTTGTGGCAATGTGTTATCCACCATATAAAACTAATACAGATGTGTGAAAGAGAGAGTGCGTGTGTGTATGTTGTGTGTGTGTGTGTGTTTATCTACTGAGACAAAGGACTGAGTTCAGTTCTGGTTCAACATGGGATGCAAAAGGGACAGCACAAACAGAACAGTGAAATGACCTCTGAATGGACTAATTCAGCTGAGGCAGGAGTTTGGATCCTGAGAACCTAGGCCTCCCCCGGAGGAAGACCCTGAGACAAGAAGTGAAATAGTCTATTTGAAAGGTGACCCCAGTAAAACCAGGTAGTATACTGGAAGAATGAGACATGGAAGGGAAGGAAGCCAATAAAGGTTGCATATGAAGCAAATGACTATCACGGGCAGCTAGAGCTTAATCCTGTTGGGGAACTCTGGGAGATAACGAATAATATGTCTCAGAGTTACCCCACCGAGAGGCAAGGGAGCTGGGATATTTATCCACCAATTGCCATCAGATATGGGCTGAGGGCTGCTTCAGAGAGGTAAGGGGAGGCTAATTCCCCAGACTTCTGGCCTGACCCTTACATGAAGGCATCCTGTCCAAATCTTCCCTCATCTAACTGCTCTGAGTGTGTTTGTGTGTAAGCTACTCCTCACTTTACTCTGACAGGTACTTTACAACTATTTGTTCATTTAATTCTCCCAGTACCCCTCTTAGGCAGAGATTATAACCCCATTTTACAAACAAGAAAACCTAAAATTTCAAGAAGTTAGCAACTTGCTAATGTCATATTGCTACTAAGCGGCAGAACTTGGATTAAAAACGCATGTTGATCACCAACAAAGCTTAGACTTCTGACCACTGCCCTAACTCATCAGGAGGAAGTCCACCTCCTGTGTGCTTGAGCCTCAGTCCCCATCTAGCCTTTTACCCCCAGCAGCTACTCTCTGACTATGCCTCAGGACATAAGGTGGCCCTCTCTGCCCACTCCTGGTGCCCCCTATTATTGCTGAAGTTGTTTTTCATTCTTTATTCCATAAACTTATATGTGAATGGGGCCGGAGTTGTTCCTACCATAAGTTCAATTTGCCGGAACAGAGAGAGAGGGAGGACTTGGGAGGCCAACAGCAGCCAGAGAATTTGTAGAGCTGCAGCGCATTGCCTGGGAAACAAGGAATGTGTGAGAGGCTTTGTGCTGAGAGGAGGCAGGGCCCAGCTGCTCCAGCAACCACCCAACAAGAGACAGCTTAGCTAGCTCCGTTTGGAACAAAACAGGCTTTTTGTGGGCCTTGACAGTGAGGAATGGCCCTCCCCAAGGACATTTTTTCTTTCCTTTTTCTTTTTAAAGTTCCCATAGGTAGCCCTACTCTGGCTCACTTCTGAGAAACATCAATTGGAAAGTGGAGATGGGGTCAAAGGCTCCTCCTGCCCTTCGCAGGGCCTTCACCCTGAACGTTGGTTTTGCTACCTGCAGATTTCTGTAAATGTGAGGAGTCACTCAGAGGAAAAGCGTTAGCAGAGACATGGTGTCTCAAAAGGTGTGGGGTTTGTTGGGGGAAATATGTGATCCTGGGGTAGCATGGGGTCCTGGGTACATTTTGGTAAGGCAGAGAGGAGGTGCTCCCATTTCCACACTGGAAAACTGAAAAACATCAAAGCCTTTTATGCTGAGAGTAAATATTTGATTTCTGAATAGAATTCCCACCCCCTCAGAAACAGAGGAACTCAGGCTTGTGTCTATGGTCGCGGAACGTGCCCTATTCAGCAACTCTCCAGAGGAACAAAGAGGAGAAATGAATTGGCATTAAAGTGTTGGAAAGATCTAGCTTTTGCTGACCTATTTAAGATGTAGCAAGGACATTCTAGAGATCATCTCTGGAGTTCTGTTCCTGTAAAGCTATAGTGCTCAAATAGAAACAGGTTGAAAAATCACAGGCAAGCCACAAATTACCCCCAGCTCGTGAAAGGCTTCATTGTTTCCCTTCTCCTAGATCCTCTGATTGTGTCCTCCCACCAACCATGTCCCAGGGAAGGATTCACTCCCATCCTCCCTCTCTTGCCCTCCTTCCAAAGAGGGAGGCACAGAAATGGAAATCAGCTAGCCAACATCTAATAATTGCCTCCTCTGTGAACTCCATGTTCCAGACATTAATAAGAGGAATAGGATGTGGGAAAGGGGGAAGGTGGCACATTCAAAAGTGACAGAATGTGACAACATGGATGGACCTAGAGGGTATCATGCTAAGTAAATAAGTCAGACAGAGAAAGACAGATACCATATGATTTCACCTATATGTGGAATCTAAAAAGCAAAACAAAGGGACAAACAAAACAAAACAGAAACAGACACGTAGAGACAGGAAACAAAGTGTTGGTTACCAGAGTGGGGAAAGATTGGGGAATGGGTGAAACAGGTGAAGGGGATTAAGAAGTACAAACTCCCCATGATAAAATAAATAAGTCATAGGGATGTAATGTACAGCATAGGGAATATAGTCAATAATATTGTAATAACTTTGTAGGGTGACAGATGGTAACCAGACTTATTGTGGTGATCATTTTGTAATGTATATAAATATCAAATCACTATGATATACATCTGAAACTAATAGGATATGGTATATCAATTATACTTCAATAAAAAAAAAGTACCAGAAGACACAATCCCTAGGTACTTAAATATAGTTGGGAAAGCTGCATCTAAATCTTTAAGTATAATTGATAATTCATTTGCATCGCCCCTTACAAATTGTCTTTTAAAATATCATTTTATTTAATCTTCTAACA